CTAGGACTTAGAAATTCCGTGTATTCCTTACTTATACATACATTTATCAAAGCAATCAGTATCTCCCAATCAGATTTCAATAGAGTAGTGGAGACAAGTTTTAATTTTCTTAAACAAGTAGGATATTATACTACAATCATAAGAAATTTATTAATTAAAATATATTAATAGGCATTAAATGAACTAGTTTTTTTTATTCTAACGAATGTGGGATGCCACTGATAAGTTTTGAGTTGTTGGGAAATACTGTTACAGGCTTGAAGTGAAGAATACATTTATTGTAGGTCCAGGAGATGGCACGACATAGGAATTTAACAAATGGTTAGTTTCTGTTTATCTATAGGAAATGACAACGTGTATGAATATTTCAAGCGCGGAGTCTTTTTCTTCCGGGAACTAGAACGATGCTTCCATAACTGGAACGAACTGTGCGTTTCAAGTTTACATTTTGTCGTGGTTTATTCATTTCTCGTAAACGTTACAGTAACGATTTATTCGGCAATCGTGTGTTCCTTCGTCGTTGTTGATTGATTAGTTTAAAATGCACACTCTATTTTCTGCAGTGTTCCTTGGACTCGTTTTTCAATTGGACCCTTTCACGACGTAACGTCTATGCTCAAGTATTTTTATATTTTAAAAATTCGTCATTCTTTTTGCGTCCGCATATGTCAAAGAGAAAGCATCCACGAAAATTTGGTAGTATTCATCTTTACAATTAGAATCACTTGCTTCGTTTACGAATTATAGACCTATTCAATTGAATTCGTTTCGAGAATTATATGTCAATTTTTATTTATCTATTGTGCTCGTTTCACGTAAGTATCTGAATTCTTGCGGTGACATCGATCGATTGTCATACATCAGTGACAATACATGCGGAAACCGTTTCGAAAGCACTGAAAGGCACTATTTAGACGTTACGCGGACATAGGTAGCGCCAATAATAGTCATGAAACGGTATTTCCGTCTCGGAAATGTACTCGCAGCGAGTATTTTTGTCGTTCGCGTGCTCGCCGTTACGCCTTCTCTCTAATTAGGACATCATGCAAGAATTTCGTATGTAATAGAATTTTAAAAAACATGCTTCTTGAAGCGCGACAACGAAGTACCATTAAGTTGATTGGGTAAACACATATCTATTCGTTGCCGACATGTAAATTATAACTTTAAGGAGACAATTGAAACTTAAAAATAATTCCGATTTAAGTTAGAAAAGCACAGATTTCATTATGGTTTAAAAAAACTGAGATGAAGGGTTAAGAATAGAAAATATTTTTTATTACAGATTAATCGGCAACGATCTCAGATTTAATTTCATTTCCTGATAAGTACTCTGTTTTAATCATGCATGTGGATAAAAAAACAGAAGTAAGAGTATCAATAACATCAAAGTAGTTGAGTTAAAAAGTAACGCTGTATTTCAGTGATCGTTATATATATATATTATATATATAACTTATAATTTCAACATTCGTTTTTAAATCGTTCATGTTATTATTATTCCGTCGAAACTTATTATCGAATCTGACACTTAACACCTAAAGGTAACTTACTAGACGAAAATATCATTCAGGATGTACAAAGAGAAACGCTTGAAAATTAAAGGGGGTATAGATAACAATATTATTCTTCTTACATAATATAAGTCTCATCTTATAACTTTTCCGGTCGATGCCAGGCTCTAGCCTTTTTCTCGTATTTCAATCCCTCTATTAATCGTCTTTTCTTTGAAACTCCTTTTCTCTTAAGTACAATGCTGCAATAATAACATGACTCGAACATGCTATCGATATATACGAATCTTTTAATGATAATTGGTCCTGAACAAATGATAGAACCAAGTTTTGGTTAAATGTCCGGTGCCGATCGTGTAATTATACGTGATTTAAGCACGATCCGCGCCGACAATGTAGAAAACCGGATCCCGATTTCGATCCCGGAAGATGAAGACTTCGACCCCGGGATCCGGGACAGGGAGGAAGGGTTGGATTCGTATGGGGATAATATAATATCCTTTTTTCCTTTTTAAGAATGTCTGCGCTCTCTACGTTTCCTCTACATTTACACACCTCTACTCTACGCTTCTTATGTTACCTGCAATGATCGACTTCTCTTTTTGTTAATGTATATTAGACAACTGCTTTCTCTACGCTGTGTGAAGTATCGATGTGCCATTTTGCCGACTAAGTGCGCTGTCAGTTATTATAGCGGTGACGTGAACTATCGAACTATTGTTAGATAATCTCTTGAATCGCTGTTTATATGTATATAGTATCGATTCTCGTATAAACTATCCCTAACATGATTTCGCAATATTTAGTATCTCAGTGTAGCTCATGAATGACTATAACTACTTTTTATGATATGCACTATGCACAAGCGTGGGACGAGTTTTGGACGCGTTAAAAAAATATAAGGACCAAAGAGTAGCTCCCGGTGTCCGAGTCTTGCGTTATCGTTTATTTGCTGCGACAGCTGCCTCTTGGATATAAATACATAGAACGCAAATCATGCCCAATACTGAAGAACAATGTTACAATGTGCATCAGTTCAATATCTTATAGAATAGTTCCGGTTACGGAAGAGATGGAAAACCTAAGCTTTAATAACACTTCGCTATAATTCTGACCTAAAACGATGATGTTTCGGATAATCGTAATGGTTCTAATCATATATTAACCATGTGCACTTACAATTAGTAATGAACTGCCTTGCTCATCTGTACTATGTTAAAAAGAGATTACTATTAAAAAGCATAATGGATGACTGAATCAAATGTGTTGTCTGCTCTTGCTCGTTTCATGATGGATACTCCAAGATTCAAAATATCTGTAATTATTGTGCGAAGAAATAAATAAGTTTTTAAACATAGTCCATCTCTCTCGGAATTACCCTACGAATCCTTGATTTCAGTAATCAATTATAATTATACAATAAGTCAACTAAATGAACAACACACAATAGATAGAACAACAATTGTATCACTACTGCAGCAAAGAAACGATATAATGGTTACGCAGTCTCGGAGTCGAATGTAAATTTTATGTAAACACATCATACATTAATAATTAATATTATTCATCGACTTCGTCGGCAAAGCTATGCGTTGTTTCGAATGACTAAAAACATACTTCTATTTTTCATTTTCTGAACTAGATTCTCTGATTGACGATCGTACTCGAGTCTTCGAATGATCTGAGAGAAATGAAATGAAACGAATTTATAAATATGTTAATAAATACGTTAATGAATATCTAGTGAAATGATCTATCGATCACCCTCGTTTCGTTCCCCACTAAAAACGGTTACACTAAAGTTACATAACAAAACAAACTTGACATATAATTTTAATTATAGTCCTTCAACGAAACGTTTACTTTGTTCAAGTATAGAAACAAGCTTTAAATTAATCTTTAATAATCACTATTTATCTTCTATTCTTAATTCATATACTTTTCGAACAAAATAATTGTTGTAACAAACTTATTTATATATCGAAGAAAGGATATTTAAAGACATCGCTTTCCTCCAAGTAGAATTAAACTTCAAACCTGACTAATGACTAGCATTCATTGAAACAAGGAGAAATAAAAGTAACAAACAGGAGTCCGAACATTATCAGTATTTGTAATATAACGATGAACTCAAAGAGAGTATTTTTATTTTATTTTTGGTATCGATAGTGCACGTTATTTCCTATGCCTTGTAAACTAGTGTCGCTCAAAATATAATAATATGATCATGTTCCCGGTTTCGCGTTAAAGTAAAATTCTACGTTAAATTCCGAGCGACACTAGTTGGATTCTTACTTGCAAATCGTCATCGGTAATGATCCAAACATAGTTCAGATTCTTCGCAGTACAGTTTGCATGATATATAGCATATATACATTAGGTAAATATGCATGTCAGTGGAGTAGCTTGAAGATTTTGAAAAATCCGTATCCCGTTTCGAGGAGATTTTGTGTTCAGCTTGTTATCGACTTCCTTCCGTCTTTTCTTACTGCTTAATATTCTGTTAAGTATTATCATTGTTTTCTAACACGATATTTCTCGTGTAGCGCACGCAGGATTTTGCAACATTCATTGAAATCGTGATCTGTGCGAAATCTTCAAATACGTGCGACACTCACATCATCAACCCATTCCCTTCCTTTCCGCAGTTAATGTTATTACTAATCTCGTTACTAGGTAGTGAAATCCTTACATGATTATTACGACTTTGACTTCGTGCAATTAATTTATGCATTTTAGTTTGCTTGTTTGTGGTAGCCATTGCGCGAAACGTAGAGTACACGTACTAGAATGGGAAACAAAGAGACATCGAGTCGTAATGAGAAATTTAAACGATCTCTAGTTTCTACCGATGAGATTTAACTTCGAAATGGACTCTTTACGCATGATTAGTATTAAGTTCTGAAACGATGTTCAACGATGTGATATTTACAAAGTTCTCTGTGTGATATATTATTGGCCGATGAGGGGCGGTGAGGGGGGAAGGAAATTCGAGAAAGCATTAAGGCCCGTTTTACATTTGGGTACTGTTTTTTTTTCTTTTCTTTTATCGCCCACTATAAGTCACAAACTATATGTGGACAGCTGTCGATTTAGACTGGATGAAAAAGGATCGTCGCTGATGGCATCGACGAATGGCTTTCGCACTCCGGGACATCGAATAACGTGCTCTGCCTGTTCGTTTTACGAACAACGCTATTCTCTTTTTCATTCGTTTTCTTTCCTCACTCTTTTCTTCACTCAGTCGAATTCGAAGCTTCAAGGTCAACGATGCGATAAAATATATGAATTCCTTTCTTTCTTCATATAGCAGTCAAACTCAGTTAATACTGTATAAAGTCAGTTTTCTAACAATCGATTTTTTTTTTACCTTTTCTCCAAGGATACATATAGTATATAAT